AATAAACCATGAGATAAAACGAAGACCAAGGGAGGTACTAATACCACTCCATAAAGCCTTAGTAAGGCCACACCTAGAGTATTGCATCCAGTTTTGGGCACCCAGAGTATAAAAAAGATGTGGAGACTCTAGAAAGAGTGCAGAGAAGAGCAACCAGGATGATGAGGGGACTGGAGGCTAAAACATACAATGAACGGTTGCAGGAACTGGGCATGGATAGTCTAGAGAAGAGAAGGACCAGGGGAGATAGGATAGAAGTCTTCCAATATTTGAGGGGTTGCCTCAAAGAGGAGGGGGTCAAGCTATTCTCCAAAGGCCAGACAAGGAATAATGGATGGAAACTGAACAAGGAGAGATTCAACCTAGAAAACAGGCTGTTTTTTGCTCATTTTTGCCCCGCCCCAGCCCCCAGGAGCCTCCCAAAGCCTATGCATGCTCTGTATTTTTCAAAACAAACAAACAAACAAACAAGGCATGCAGAGGGTTTGGGAGGCTTAAAAAAAACTTTTTTTTTAAGTTTGCCTCTTCAAAATCTTGGTGCATCTTATACTCCAGTGCATCTTATAGTCCGAAAAATACAGTATATCTTTTCATTATCACTTAGGGATGTACTCACTTTTTTGTTGCCAGCAGTTTAGACATTCATGGCTGTGTGTTGCATTATTTTGAGGGGACGGCGCATTTACCCTGTTATACAAGCTGTATACCCACTACTTTACATTGTGGCCAAGTGTCATTTCTTCCGTGTTGCCGCATGAAAAGGTATACTTAAATATTTACAAAATGTGAGGGGGTGTACTAACTTCTGTGATATACTGTATATATATATATCTCCCCCGGATGATGCTAAAAGTGATTGTGAATGGACCTTTTTGTTTTGTCTGTCTGTAGAATTCAGCGGATCTGGAGTTACCTCATATCAGGAGCGGCTTGGTAGCCAACAAGGTACGGGATTATGGGTTACGTTACTCTCCAATGTGGCAGCCAGGAAGCTTGTTTTGAGTTCGGAGTTTAGAGTTTCTTCCCCAAGCTAAATTGCTCTACTACTCTTGTCTTTTTTGTTTTGCCTCTTCTTCCTATGGTGCTTCTACGGGTAGTCCTCGACTTACGACCAAAATCCCTGTCACTAAGCCAAGATGTCCGTCAAGTGAGTTTCGCCCCCCATTGTGCGAACCTCTCTTGCCACAGTCCTTAAGCGAATCGTTGCAGGGGTTACGACAGTAGCCAGTTGTTAAACGAACCTGGCTTCCCCATTGAGTTGGTTTTTGTCGCCAAAGAGTATCTCGTGACCCGCTTGGCACGGCAACCGTCATAAATACGAGTCAGTTGCAAAGCGCCTAAATGGGGATGTCGCAACGGTTGTAAGTGTGGAAACGTGGTCATCACAGGCTCGCTTTTTTCAGTACCATTGTCATTTTGAACAGTCGCTAAATGAGCTGTCATACGTCGAGGATTACCCGTATTGTATATCTGGCTTAGGACGGTCCCAATTTTCAAATTGATGACATATCTTGCTTTCCCTTCTTCTCAAGTGCCCCATAGCCAGTGTTTCAGAATTCCAATTTTGGGGGGGAAAACATACGTGTCTCATTAAACTCCAGTGAATTCTGCAGCTTTTAACTTGTGTTGGCTTCATCGGAGGGTTACATTAAGGTTGAATGATGTGTGACAGGTATTTGTGGACTAAATGTGTTTGCGTATTTGTCTAGGGAGATCCTCCCTAGTCATCCAGGTCGTGGTTGTCCCAACTGGGCTTCCTTTGTTTTTCCTTGAAGAGGTTTCGCTTCTCATCCGAGGAGCTTCCTCAAGTTCTGATCGAATGGATTCAGTCAGAACTGAAGAAGCTTCTGGGATGAGAAGCGACACCTCTTCAAGGAAAAACAAAGCAAGTCACAGTTGCCTTTTCAACAAGCCCCTTTGAGACAGGTCGGTGTGTATAAATTGGTGAATGAATTAACCCCTGTTTCTGGACACCACCTTAAACTAACTTGTCAGTTCTCAACCTTAGCAACTTTAAGGTGTCTGGGTTTTGACTCTCAGAATTTGAAAGAAAAGACATTGAAGTCTAGATTATCTTAAGCTTGCTAAGGTTGAGAAGCATGGGTCCATCCAAATGACTGGAATTTTCACCCAATTTGCTAAACCACCATTAAAAATGAACCAAGGTTAACTCAAGCTTGATCAGTTGGGTAAAAACATCTGCCAGTTCTTAACTTGTAAAGCATCTTCCTAACTTAGTTTATTGGCCAAGGTTTGGCCAGGTTTTAGACTTGGATAATTGGGATTGTTGAGTCGTATGGTTGAATTATGCTGAGCATTACAAGGTTGAGCTGATTGGAATTCTTCCCTAAAAGGATTAAAATTGAAAACTCGCTTATTACAACGCCCTTAGTTTTGTAACGAAGGTGTGTTTTTTTTTCTTTTGTGTGGTTTTTGTATGTGTGCAAATCCTGCCCCTTTGTTGTGCAAATGAAAATCCTGCCAACTGCCTTTCCATCCCTTAAGTCTTCTGCTCTCATTAAGGAGGAAATATTGTTAGCTATTTGTTTCCTTTCGGTTGGGCTGTCTGCTTAGCTTCTAGTGGCAAAATGTATCAAAAAAGGAAGATTTTCAGTATGCTTTTGTTTAGGAAAAGGAACATGTTAAACTAAAAGAGGATTTTAAAAAGCAAGTGAAACGGCTACAAATGATTTTGCACGTTTCCTGGAATTTAAGGAGACCTGTAAAAGTTTCCCGAAAGATACAGATTAGGTCTAAATATACTCATTCAACTACGGTAAATAGAGGCAGAATTACTCTCCTTCCTTCCTTTCCCCTTCCTTTCTTCCTTCCCTTCCTTCCTTATCTTCCTTTCTTCTCCTCCTTTCTTCCTTTCCTTCCTTTCTTCTCTTCCTTTCCTTCCTTTCACCTTCCTTCCCTTCCTTCCTCCTCCTTCCTTCCTTTCCTTCCTTCCTTCTCTTCCTTTCTCCTCTTCCTTCCTTCCTTTCTTCTCTGCTTCCTTCCTTTCCCCTTCCTTTCTTCTCCTCCTACCTTCCTTCTCTTCCTTCCTTCACCTCCTTCCTTCCTTTCTTCTCCTTCCTTCCTTTCTTCTCCTTCCTTCCTTCTCCTCCTTCCTTATCTTCCTTCTTTTCTCCTCCTTCCTTCCTTCCTTCCTTCCTTCCTTCCTTCCTTCCTTCCTTCCTTCCTTCCTTCCCCCCTTCCTTATGGATGTGTTTCTGTGTTCAAGAGCATTTTCTCTATCTATTGAAAATAAAGAGAGGGACCCAGTCTCCGGAACCTGACATTCAAGACTCTTGAGAAAATGTTCTCCCCCCCACCCCAACTGTTTGTCTCTTAATTCAAGAAACCCTCATTGATTATCAACTGGGCCTGCGTGCTCACTGGCTGAGACAAGCAAGCAGAATGTTTCCTGCAGTCAATAATGGGGAGAGAGCTAGAAGGTCTT